GAGAGAGAGAGAGAGAGAGAGAGAGAGAGAGAGAGAGAGAGAGAGAGAGAGACCCGGCGAACTGCGCGGGGCCCTGCGCGCAGATCGCTGGGGAACACTCTCTCTCTCTCTCTCCCTCTCTCTCTCTCTCTCACACACACACACACACACACACACATACACAAACGGGAATGCATCTTCCCACTTTAGCGGGAAGATGATGCATCCCGTTTAGCACCTCGCTCTCTTTCTCTCTCTCTCTCTCTCTCTCCTGCCCGTTTATTTCATGTGATTTCTTTCTTTTTTTTTACTTCTCGTGTTTTTTTTTTTTTTTTTTTTTTTTTTCCGTTTTTTGTGTTTTCACAATTGAAGAAAGTTCCCCTACCGGTAGCGGGAGGCTCGGCAAGGCTCGGCTTACCGGTAGCTGGAGGCTCGGCATCAATGGCTGAGAAAGGTACTGGTGGTTTAAGTTCAGGTCCAAGCGTGCGCCAGTCGCCAACTTCCACCACACTCACTGGTATATATCGTTGGGTTTGCACTCTGAGTCAAGTGTGGGCCCAGGGTTCTACTCTCATGACTGGGTTGTTGCATGTGTTGTTTCTGTTCTAGGTCCAAAGACTCAAACACAGAGAGATGATGACGAAAAGAATCGAAAAGAGCAGGAGAGAGTACCTGGTGCAAAAGGAAATGGAGTTGAAGGAGAAGATGAAAAAATTGAGACGGAAACATGCAGCAGAAGTTGAGGCCCAAAAGGTATAGTGAGCTCCTTTTCATTCCTCCATATCTGTGTGCATGGTCCTTGCAACAGCGAGGGGTCATCCTTTTTTTCTTAATTACAAAACCAGCACATGCTGCGAACCGGGCCAGCATCCCTTATAAGATTACATCACATTATTGAGCGGTTGATGATAGTTTTGAGGATACCGAAGCCATCACCCTTTTTTTTTATTTTTATTTTTTTATTTTTAACTTGTCGAAATATATTCCAAAATGAGAGTTTGAGGCTGGGGACCTCACAAACATTTCAGAAGAAGCTATGAAGAAAACATGAGACTTCATGAACCACTCCTCACCTTACTTTTTTTTTTCTTTTTTTTTTAAAGACACAACCCCTTTGTATTCTGAGTCACCGGCAAGCATGAAAAGACAATGAAGTAATCAGGGCCATAAGCACCACAGTGAATCAGAAGCGCTATCCGAGCAGCAGGAGACTAGTACCTGAAGTACGCTGTTCTACTCAGCTTTTCCTGCTCTTTATGAAGCATAACCCTGCGGTTTGAAACAACTTCAAGCAAGGAGATTCAGAGAAAAAGACATGGCCAGAGTTTGGTAAAGGCAAAAATAACAGGAAATGGCAGTAACATCAGGGCCACAGTTCAAACACAGCACTACGTCTTTCGTCACCTCCGTTGTCAGGGCTTCTTTTTTTTTTTTTTTTCCCACATCAGCATGGTTGGGGCCGGGGGCAACATGCATCCCCTCAGGTGGGTGGAGGGAGACAATAACGCTATGTTCGCAGGGGTCCCCTGTATAAGGCTTGGACCCCACTGGCCGGCGGCTGGAAAAGTTTTGGCGTGGAAGGGCGGCAGTGGGGTCGCGTCGAAACGTGCCAATTCCTTTCCACCGATGTTGGCCACAAACTGGCGGCCAAGTACATTTTCCAGCCGCCGGCCAGTGGGGTCCAAGCCTAAGCCTTAGGAGTAGCGGTAGCCTTGTAGGTAGGTAGTGAAGGTGAATTGAAAGAATTTGAAAGATGATGAAAGGTTTGTGAGAGAGAAAAAAAAAAAAAAAAAAAAAGAGACTCCTAAGCAAGGCTGGGACCCCACTGCAGTGCGGATGGAAAAGACGGTTGGCCACGAAAAGAGGGCAAGTCATTTTGGAAAGTTGGAAAGTATTTTTTCCGGGAGTACGTTTTGCGGCAAAGCGAGTTCTGTTTTTTCCGTAAGTGGAAAGGCCTGTGGGTAGTGGCCGAAAAAGGAAAGTGCTGACCCCGTGGAACAGACGAGAAGTTTTGGGGTCGGTGTATGGGATACCGAAGCACAAGGATGCGGCTAGATGGAGGCCCATCGCGCCCTCTTTTTCCGAGCCAAGTGTTTCCAAGTCCATCAATGGGCTCCTCTGGAAGATTCCGCAATCATACCACTTTACTCGGTCACCTAAGTTCTGAGGGCTCGTTTGATTTTACCTGCATCAAGGCATTTGAGGACGGCGGCTTAAATAGGGTAGGTTAAGAGTAGTCAGATCTCTTTTCGCCAAACGGCGTTGGCTAGACTTGGACAGGGGCTAGTTGGACGGTGGGCCATGGTAGTCTGACGACACTTAGCCCGGGTGGTGGATTTTTGGACGTCATTTGACGTTGGCGGAGTCGGCCATCACATCTCTGAGCTTTCACGTAACCACTGTTAACAATCACGTGTTAACGTGCGTTGTTTTTGCCGATGTTTTGACTTCACACAGCTTGTACGGCGTTGTGCCCGGTGTGCTGTTGACTGCTTGTTTGCGGTTCTCTGAATTCATACCACTTTAATATGAAAAAAAAAAAAAAAGTGCTAACCTTTTGAGTAATTGAACAGGAAAAGGGGGGAGGAATTTCAAATGGCACGATGCTGTCTGCCAGTTCCGATATCAAAGAGATGTTTACAAAACTTCCGTATGATGCCATTATGCGCGGCAGTTGAATGACTGTGCAATTTTTTTATTGAGAAGGGACACAATGCTATCAGGGTCAACAAGACTGGGAAAGGCACTGCCCTGGGGAAAGCCTTGGGAGAACAAGGTTGGAGTAGGGTTAAGTTTTCTGAAATTAATAATTATTCAGTTTACTAAGTTTGATCTCAGTCACACTTTTTCCAAGACCTCCACCTTCATCATTAGGCACGGAATTGGCATCCCCCCCGATGGGGAAAACTTCTAGCCCCGCTCTAGCCTGCCTCTTATGCGCTCCTCACTATGAATTTTCTTTTTTGAGCTCCTTAAGCGAAGACCGCCTCCTCCCGTTACCCTGACCAGGCACAGGGTTGGAAAGGGAGAAGAGGACCACCCCCACCCAGTCAAGTGTCAATTGTCTGTGTGGTTGGGTTTTCCACGAGTTGGGTCGTATGCACACCTGCTCAGTCAATCTTCTGACTTCCAGAGTAATCAATGCTGGCAGGCACCCTCAAGACACCATCCAATTCTCGTTCCTAGCATCATTCTGTATCAATCTGTATCAATCTGTGTAAGGGACGCTGGACCCGTTTTCCAGCAGGTGATGCTCCCCACCAAGAGATGGAGCCTCTCCCCAGGTGCTAGCAATGTCTGCCTTAAGCAGCATCGCTAGCACTGGAGGGACTGTTTCTGAAAAAAAAAAAAGCGAAGACCGCCGCCTAATTCAGGGTCTTAATAGGCTGGTTGATGATGCCGCACTGTTTATTATGTTGCCGAGTACAACCCAGGATTCATTTGCAAGAGCTATTAATATCTACCAACAATTTCTCTCGGAGTCCCTATCCCTATACGACGGAAATCTGACCTTAGTTCGAACCGATTTACGAGATGGATGCCGGGAGTTTTTAGGGTGCAAGATAGAATGTCAGGAAGTAGCACCTGTTTGTCGTTCGCTGCGAAGCTACTACTAAGAACCAACTTGAAGAAACTATCTGGACAGAGAAGGGAGTGGTATTTTTATCCACCCAGGACTTCTGGTCCTATGGACCCAAGAGCCAGAAAGTGGGGTTGATTAAGTGCCAAATGAATAGGGTTCTCACCCCCTCTTCAAATTCTAGAGGAGTGGGTCTGTTTTTGCTTTCTTTATTACGAAGAGAGATGAGGGTGAAGGGGTTCCCAAGGAAAATCCTTTTAAAAGCTGCGGACGAGTTTTCCAAGAAGAAAAATGACTGTTGGAGGGGGTGGGTTCGAATCCTATCGGAAGGACTACCAGAAGGCGCATTCAAGACCAGGTAAAATATTACCATCACGTTTTTTCCACCAGCCGTGCACTGATATGCTACAGCGAAGGGGAGTGGCACGACAATCGTACCCTGGATCTTCATATCGCCTTGGTCCTGTTACAGTGGGCATGATAGTATTCCCGCTATCCTCTTTCTGGCAGATCCCACCGGGCTAGCTTGTCTCTATTTCGGATCTCCCTGTTCTCTGACGTCGACTGATGGATCTCTGCGTCTCCCCATCTCACTCCTCACGTCGTGTTTTCGCTATGTCGGCTCACCGCGCTCATATCCCGCTGCCCTCCACCTGCTTGGCTTTTCCACCAGCCACCCTCCTTTCTTTCTTCCGCCTCCAGCTACTACTGAACTCATTCTCCCGATACACCATGCGTATTCTCCCATTCCTTTCGCCCATATTCCACCGCCTTTTCTCATTGCTGTTACCTGCTTTTCTGACCTTCCTTCTCCCGCCTCAACATTCCCGCCGAATGATGTCACCTCTTTTGCCGTTTTCCGATCTGTCACTTCCTCTCTCTCTCTCTCTCTCTCTCTCTCTCTCTCTCTCTCTCTCTCTGAGAAGCAGCGTCCGAAGATGTTGGTTTTCGATTGAGTAAACGGGTATATAAGTGAGGTAAGTCCAGGAGTAGGTAGCGCAATTCGTCCCCCCTGATGATGGCTGTGACGGTGGCACAGCCGAAACATGTCGGGAGTCAGTGCAGGTCCCGTGAACGTGACCACTGACCGGCCGGTCACGGGGGTCGAAATCTGTGAACGGCTGTTCAGGGGGTTTCCGCCCACGTGGAGGCTGGTACGGTCGGGATCGGGGCGGGAGGGGGGTGGTGCAGGGGCCTTCTACACCCCCGTGCCTTCAAATATTAAAAAAAAAAAAAAAAAAAACAGAACTGGGTGTGTGTGATAAAAAAAAAAAATGTATTTGGGGGGGGGGGGGGGGGGGGGGGGGGGGGGGGCGCGGGGTCTCTCTCTCTCTCTCTCTCTCTCTCTCTCTCTCTCTCTCTCTCTCTCTCTCTCTCTGTGTGTGTGTGTGTGTGTGTGTGTGTGTGTGTGTGTGTGTGTATATGAGACGCCAATGAATGACGGACCCCCATTGTGGTCGGTGCTTTATTGCACCACGAAACGGAAATGGCCGGGTCACCTGCTCCTGGCAAAAGGCCAACCCGCCTCTCGTGAAGCGAGGCCTGACCGTTTTTTTTTTTTTTTTTTTTTTTTTTTTTGGTGGTATGGCGCGGTGCCGGCGTAGTGTCATCATTTTTTGTTTTTTTTTGAGGGCCCAAAACACCCTCAGAATGCCCCACACGGCCGACGAATGCTACACCTAACACAGTCGAAATCGATTTTTTTTTCAAATAAAAATAAAAATAAATCGGATTGAAAAGAAAATAAAATAAAAATATGGGCAGGTGCCCGTTGAGTAGTTGACACAAACCACACACCTGTGCAACCCCCCCCCTCCCCCCTACCAGCCAAAAAGAAAAAAACACGGAGTTCCTGCTCTGTGTGAACTCCGCGAACTCCCACGGGTATGGATTGGTTTGGCAAGGGGGGATGGGTAATTCGCAATTGGGTTGGTAATTAGCATATTCCCGCTAAGCCTTCACTGGTTGTTATGGCTTCATGCATTGTTTTCAAAAAATAAGGTAGATCTGCTAGAATGATAGGTATATCTGGCGGCTCAATTGGGCTGAAGAGGCAAGGTTCTACTTTCAACTTACAATGACTTGTTCTGGATGAATCATGTAAGGGACGCTGGACCCGGTTTCCAGCAGGTGTTGCTCCCCACCAATAGATGGAGCCAGCCCGGGTGTGCTAGTGGTGCCTGCTCCTATCAGCACTCCTAGCATCACCCAAAAGGGGTTGATTAAAAAAAAAAAAAAAAAAAAAAAAAGTTTTTTGTGACCGGTGACGGGCCCGTGAATGCTGAACGGGGGTATGACACTGTCGGGAGTATTCGTCTTCGTGCTTCAGATGCCAATGATCATGCCATTAGTGCATATTTATGAAGCACACACACACACACACACACACACACACCTGTCTCTTATACACATCTAGATGTGTATAAGAGACAGGTATCAAACCACAGCAAAGAAGGAGGCCGGGAATCCCTCCACAAACAACCCGGAAAAGGTTGCTGGGCCAAATCCCAGCCATGGGGCAGGCTATGGGCAGTTGGTCTAAGACAGAATTGCTCAAAACCGGACCG